GATCATGTCTAGACACATGCAAGCAGTGTTTAGGCAGAAGGGAATTGTTTATTTGAGCCTTCATCTGTGTGCTCAGAAATGTCAGGTAAGTCCTTCAATGATACACTGAAAAAATGACATTAATGATGGTCCTAAGCAGTGTGAGCTGTGCATGTAGGCCATCGGGTGAGATCCGCACGAATGCAGGGTAGTTGCAGATGCAGTTTGGGTTGATTCATGCTGGTATATTGTTGTACACTGGGCCACTTTCAGTCTAACTGGCTAACTGTTGAGTAACTTAGGGAGTTTGCACTGCAGAGTTCATTTAAAGATATCTATTGGCAAACAAGGCAAGAGATTGTATCCAAGTCTGGATTTCTTTATTTTAAATGCATTAATGATTGTTCTGTAAAATTTTATTAACTCTCTGGAAATCTTGCAGAAAGCTCATTTCAAATTAGAGAGGATTTATTGAGTGAAATAAGGAACTCAGTCTGTCAATACCCCAGTCACTGTGATAATTTTTTTCTCTATAAAATTCATTTTAGTCACAATTTTATAGCAAATTCAGGTGAAAAAAAAATCTTTTCAGCATGCATGTGATTTTGGTAAAATGATAATGTATAGATTTGTGAGCAAGGCAGAAGATTTTGAGATAAGCCACAGAAAGCAATAAGTCGTTTTCTATATACATAATTGTCTTGTTATTTCTGTATTCCTCTTGGCTTCAGTGATCTGTGTTCTTATTCCCAGGATTTTTTTAAAGTTGTAACAACTAAACTTCATAATCTTGAAATTGCATCAGATTTTAATACTTATACAAGATTTGAGCTTTCAAGCAGAACTTGAAGCCATGAAACACAAATACCAGAAGCTCTGGTCTTCTAATGTTTTAAATCTTCTTAACCACAATCTCTTAAAAAGCAGGATTGGTTCAGCTGGAATGCAGCCTTCAGGCAAACAATAAGAAAATGAAGCATACAGGTTACTACTGCTTTTGCTCTATGTTTAAAATTTTGATGATTTCCAAAGTCTAATAGTGACAACAATACTGCATCACTAAATAAATTCTTATTTAGAAGGTCGTTTCCCTCTAAAGAAATTGTCAACTTACTGTTGCAAGGACGCTACTTGCATCAAAAAAAGTGACGAATTGTGTGTCCTCAGAAGACTCTGCCTAATGCTGAAATTGTAGCAATGTAGGCACTCTGAAAGGGATAAGCTTGACAAATCAAACTCTGCCCTAGATTTAACAATGTATTTTACATTTACAACTACCTGTATTTTACAGGTAGTTGCTTACTTTATCTTTGATTTCAAAAAGAGAAGGAAGATTTAGGAAGGTGCTGTTTGAAACTGAGAACAATATAGCACATATTTTGACATCCTGTTGAAATTGGATTAAAGTTGTGTAAAAGTATTTTCAGGTGAATGAACCTAGTGCTTAGGGCAAATAAGTTACACTGAGATATTCAAAAAGAGATTTCGTACATAAATATGGCATTATATTCGGTAGAGTTTGTGTTAAAATTTATGAGTTTAGATCTTGTGGAAAGTGCAGCCCTTCTGCAAAGTCAACAAAATGGATGGAAATGTAGGGGCCAAATGCCAAATAACATGCACTACAATAATATGATTCTAAAGCTAAAAGCATATAAACCAGAACTTGTGCTTCAGAAAATTTGTGTAGGCCTTGTATGTTTCTTCTTTCATCAGTGAGAATCCATTATAATTCTTGTATGTCCTGAGTGGATAGTTGAATTGTTCTTCAGGTGGTTTGTTTTTATAACCAGTTTATAGTCTGAAATTTGAGTTACTGAATGAGAGGTGTTTAGTAAGGATCCTACAGTCAAATCATTAATTTTTATTCCTGTAGCTTTAAGACAGTACAGAATAAACACTGTTTTGATGCAATGTTCTTGAATTCTTTGAGAAGAGCACTCCTTTAGCTCTGTGCTGCACAAATGACAATGGATTTCCTCTTGCTCTTTTTTTGTTCTGTAGTGTAATGTTATTTAAAAAACAAAAGGTTCAGTTGCATTTAGGTCAGTTATTAAAATACTGTTGGTCATTTCCTTTGACAGAACATTTCTATTGTGTTGTACCAATGTCATTAGGAGGAAAGGTTATTCCCACTTGTCTGGCTGATATCAATACATACTGGCATATTACATCCTCTGGCTTTCTGGAAATGTTTTATTTGAGCAGCAGCTTGGGAACAGGAAATTTAAGGTTATATGCAGTCTGGTTTCAGGCTGCATGGTAGAAAGTGTGTTTCCTAGAAGATGCTGTCTTACCTGACAGATTTTCTCTAGTATTTTGTGGAATTGGATAAGCTTAAATAGGTTCAAGTTGCAGACAAATTTTTACCAGCTGCAGGTAGTAGACAAGGTAAAACAAGGTTTTCAGTGACTCTGTAGTGTTTGAGGAATTTACACTAATGCAAATCATGTATCACCAATTGACCAGTTCCTCTGGAATGTAGTTTACATTTTAAGATTTTACAGTGATAATATTACCATTTTGTAAGTGTTCCTACTGTCTGGAAGGAGGAGAAAACAGTACTTTTACATCAAGCTGTGAACAAATGTGAAGTCTGTGACACTGTAGTAACTTTTAAAGGCATAGGTTCAAAAGTAGCATTTTAGCCATGCAGAGCAGCCCTTTTGATCAGAATCAGAGTGAGCAGGAAAATAGGAATACAGTTCAATCCTGTAGCTGTTCATGCATGTAAAACACAGCAATACATACTTCCTGTTGCTTTCACTGACAAATTAGTCTGGTATATTTCAAGTGATGATGCTGAAAATTACAAGTTCATTTTGGTAAGATCTTAACATATATTACTTAAGTGGGAAACAAGTATAAAATTGTGGAAAGATAAACACTTGAAATATTGAGCCACCATACACATATACTGTCCCTATTCCACAGGGACATATTCAAAGTCATTAGAAATAATAAAAGTTATAACCCTTTTAAATGGAAATAACCATCTTAGTTAGAGATCAGACTACAAGTAAATTTCATTGTAGAGATGAAGCGTGGTGCCTGATGAGTTACTGATTAAACTTTCTGTCTGCTTTTGCAGAGTATCAGGGGTATCAGAAAATAAAATTTATACATGAAGTCATTTGTTTCTTTTCAGGCCAGACCTGTGGAGTCTCACCTTGCTAAGATCCTCTTTCAGTCTGAGCTTTTTGTGACCCTCTTCATAAAGCTAAAACTAGCTGAGGTTGGAAGGAGCCTTTAGATAGAGATCATTAGCCCAGCTGCCCTGCCTGGGCAGCTCAGATAGACTCGGCTGTCCAGGTCCTTGTCCTGTCAGGTTTTGAGTATCTCTAAGGACAGAGACTCAACAACTTCTCTGTGGAACTCATTCACTTGTGTTTATTACTTGTATTTATTACTTTTGGTATTGCACAAAATATGAATTTGTTTATGAAATATCTGCAGCTTACAGAAAGAAGTAATGTGGCATCTAACTACATTGAATACAAGTATGAATAAGTAATTTTATGAAGCTACTGTATTATATCATCACTTAGTTGTGAAATGCAGATATCTGCGCTAGTTCTGACTTTCTTAATGTTAACTATACAGTTTATGCTATTTAAAATTCTGTTGCAGCTAGTTTGTCAAATATCTGTGTGATATACAGCCTTCTGGTACCTAAATGGGTCCTCAAGAGAGCTGGAAGGGGAGCTTTTATAACAGCATGGAGTAGTGGGAGAAAGGGTAATGGTTTTAATTTAAAGAGGGTAAATTATAATAAGGTATAAGGAAGAAATTACTTACTGTGAGGGTGGTGAGGCACTGAAACAGGTTGCACAGAGAAGCTGCTGATACCCTGTCCTTGGAAGTGTCAAAGGCCAGGTTAGAAGGTGCTTTGAGCACCCTGGTCTAGTGGAAGGTGTCCCTCCCCTGAACTACATGATCTTTAAGGGCCCTACCAACCCAAATCATTCCATGATTCTATGAAATGCAGATTGATTTTACTTATACTCAAAGCTCACTAAATGCCACATGATTGTGTTAACATGCTCTGGGATGGTATCAAGAAAACTGCTTGAAGATCCAAGTGCAAAACATATGAGTACCTAAGTACTTTCAATCAGTGCTCTTTCATGTCCTAACAGCATGCACTACAGGGTGAGTCCCCCTTTGCCTTTCACGTGGGTCCTTTTTTGGTCAGCTAGATGTAGGCATGTCACATTGGTCACATTAGGTGTGGTTTGTAACACCAAATACTTCCTGAATAAAACTTAACTGTGCACAGAAGACTGATCTAAGCCAATTATAGGAGTGGTAACATCAGTACTGTGCTACTGACACAGTTATCTTAATTGTATTATCATTTTTATTTCTGTTAGCTATTTCTTGAAATACAGTGAACCTGTAATAAAAATTTCTGCCAGCATATTAAAGAGACTTCTGTGTACAGATGACATTTGTGTTAAGGGGATGAGTCAAGGTAATTCAAATGAAGAGGCAGTTAAGGTGAAATAAATCACAAGGTTGAGGCAAGAGAAGAGACCCTATTTGCTCTACCACTGATAATGTAGCCACTGCTTGAGATAATGAAGCAGAGCAGTTTCTGTAGTTGGTGTTAATTTGCCCTATTCACTTGGTTGACTGCTTTTTGAATCAGTTACTGTGCAAGGTCGTACTTGTTTGTTGTCTATCAGTTTTAATTAAATTAAAACTTTTCCAGTTCTCAGGTACAACTATAATTTTCCTATAATCTTAGGAAAGAATAGAGTGGTCATTTGGGCCTACATAAGCCTGGTACTAGCCCTTTTATCAGTTTTATAGTAGCTCTCCTATTTGTCAATAAGCTTCTGCTGTTTCACCTGGCTTTCTTCCAAAGCATGGTAGAACCTTTGTATCCTAATAATGTCATGTAGCTTTGTCAAAAATGTTCCACATGCATACGTGCCTCTGGTATCAGTATGGAAGGGGGATTGCTTGTCTTTTATTGGTGTCAACAATTTTGGGTTTTGTTCTTTTCTAATCAACAGAATTTAGCTTCCTGGAATCCTTCAAACCCTGAATGCTTGCTGCTTGTTGTGAAAGAGCTTGTGCAGCAGTATCATCAATTTCAGTGCAGCCGATTACGGGAGAGTTCTCGTCTCATGTTTGAGTATCAGACTTTACTTGAAGAGCCCCAGTATGGAGAAAACATGGAAATCTATGCTGGCAAAAAAAACAACTGGGTAAGCTCTTATTATATCTAAAATGCTTTTAACAAATACAACTCCTTCTTGGGAAAATGTAAGTTCTTCCTGTGCATCTCCATGCTTGATGTTTCTGATGGAGAAAACTATTTGATTTCAGCTGATTTTCTATAATCCTTGTTTGGGATGTTGCTGTATTCCATTACGGTGGTTGAACCAGATATCCAGGTGAGAACTGGTTTTGAACCTGGTGTTCATTCATCTGGCTTATAGGTGAAAACTTTGAAACTGTTGAAAAGCTTGTGCTGTGTTTAGAGAGCACAGTACAACATCAGTGTGGAAGTTTGAGTTCTCTTTGAAGATTTGAGAGGCAGAATAATCATGTTGGTATGACACCCTGCCAGCCTACCAGTCTGCTTAGGGGTAGGGTGCATTAGGGTGTGTTTCCACATTGTGTTTGAGTTGGTTTAATTGGCAGTTGCAGCTGCCAGTATCTCTCCTGCACTTGTCTAAGCCGAGATGAGTTGTTCTGGGAGAGGAGAGGAAAAACTAACCCAAGTAATTTTCTGCAAGAGGAGGCAAGATGGGCTAGAGCAGTGACTTTGTCAGGCCATGCTTTCATAGGACAGTCAGACATTAAACTGGCTTATCTGCTTCCTGAAGTTATATCCCATGTTCCCCCATGGGAAATGTGCCATTCTATATAGAAACACTGCATAGATCTCTAAGGTGTGGCCATTGGCAATGCAGGCATTTTGGTTACTGTGTGAATTGACGTTTTTTAAAAATTGATCTCTGCCACAGAGTAAGCTTTGCAAAAAATCAAGTTTTTTCTGCTGGTAATATATTTTTCTTGCAAAGTTTGGAGTGAGATATGTCAGGAAATATCTAATGGTGTTTATGAAGGACTTGTTTCCCCCTTCTTTCAGAAATAGCATACTCTTAAGATAAACTGGCCTTCAGAAGCTGTATCTTATGAAACAAGTGCAGTCTGAAAATTGATGAAATTTCATCACTCCTATTATCAAGGCTAGAATTCAACTTTGTATCACTTCAATCATCCTGAAGTTACAGGTAATTCAAGGATGTTTACAACTCACACATTGATCTGGGTTTTTTTCCTTAGGCAAGTCATCTAGGCTTTTTTATTTGAACCCAGTTTAATTTTCTTCATCAAAGAAATTCAGACTTCTTTAATGTTTATAGATCAGAATATTTCATTGAAATTAACTTATTCACAGATGTTATTGTCCATAGGTTGCATCCCAAACAACTTGCTATATCTCTAAATTTCATCAGACTGGTTTATTGAAGTGCAGAAGTCTTTCTGAACTGTACTGAAATTTTATCAAGTCTTTTCTCAGTCTTCGGTGACTGAATAAAGAACTTTCTCTTCTTGAATTTGAAATGTTTTTTTAATTAAAAACATTCCAATAAAATAAATACCTGTTGTGTCAAATCCTTTTCATATAGCAGAGCTATATATTTTTCTATAGCATGTATTTTTTTCCAAGTCTTTATTCTCTGTCAAGAAGACTCTTGAGAGTTTTGAAGATTCTGTAAACTTGGCATTTATGACAGAGGCTTGTTTACTAGTGTCCTAAAACAAAACTCTGAAACTACCTTGTGTAGTTCTCTTCACTATCTTTTACAACTTCTTGTTTTGTTAGCCTTAAGGATCAGCAAAATAGGACTGTTTTTCCAGAAAGCAGGAGGCAAATGGCCTTTTATCTTCTCTGTCTAGAAGTCATTGAAATTCATGTTGCTGCTGTCTTTCAGGAAACAATAGTAGTTCAGCAGATTTCTGAAATAATAAGGTGTGAGCCTTGCACAGTGTTATGAAAGCAATCATCTTAGGTGCATGAGTTAAAAATACTTTAAAAAGAATACCTGAATTCAGCACTCTGACCAAGAATGGAACAGAAATTTGCTCTTATACCTTTGTTCTGCTGCCTCCAGTTTCCTAAAGTGCAAGTCTCCAAGATATATGATAAATCAACAAACTACTATCTAGCTAAGTGGCTTCTTGTTGGAGGAATACCAGCAGATGCAGGAGCCCATTAAATACCCAGTCCCTCAGGGCTGTGGCCAGAAATTCATCTATCTCGACCTGATGCCGGTATCCAGCTGGTTTGGGCCGGGGAGATGAGCACCATGGACAGGGGCTGCTCCCTGTCCAGCCAGAACACCTTTGGAAGAATTAGTTTGCAAAATAATCTTGATGGAATGATATGAAAGATCTAGACTTTTTGGAGTAGCTGATGATCAGAGCAGCATTGATCAGAGGTCATTGATGTGCTCAGTGGCTATCCTAGTTCATCGGACTTGGTATTATACCACAAATAATTTTCTGGATTTTATGGCGAACATTGTATGGCATTTTTTGAAAGTCCAGAGGAGAAGCACTGTCTGTAATATCCATTTCACTCTGGATAAGAAGTGAGGACCCTGACCATCATCACAGTAGTCTGTCTTCATGGTCAATGTGTGCAAGAAGTTATTGATTTTTCTGCATACATCAGTAATACAGCATCAGGAAGTTGGTACCTCTCCTCACAAGAGGTGTAATCAGGAAAGATTTCACAGCTGGACTTTAGTGTACACTCACTTTTTGTTGCATAGTGTTTCTATGAGTAATTTCTTTGCCTGTCTTGTGTGACTACCAGTGACAAATTTTAAGGGCAATTCTTAGCTAGCTGGCATAAGGGTGAATTACAGCCCAATGTCACACAAATCCTTTTGGCAAATGATATAACTTCAGAGGTGCCATTAGGAACATTTCAGTTCCATTCCAGATCTTGTTTTTTCTTGTTTAGTGACTTAAAGGCAGAATGAGGTATTTATAGTTCATGCCGGGTAGATTACCCAGAAACAGATTGGCACAGACGAATTGGTTAGCTTGTCTCAAATTATCCCAGTTTTTGTAATTAATTGCATAAAATCAATGTTTAACACTTTTTACTGCTAATTCAATGTACCTAACAAATATAGCTGCTGTGTGGCTACTATATTGAATTTTAAAAAAATAGAGATAATGAAAAATTAACATGAAGGAAATCAGGCAGGCATTTGTTTTCAAAAAACAGCTAACTTCATTACTTTATAACCAGGTGGACAAAGTCTGGTTTTAAGGAAGTGTATGAAACAGAGAGGAAATCCTTTCCATTTCCTTCACATACCCTTTATACGTAAAAAAGAGCAATGTGTACGGGACACTTGGCACATTTTCAGTAAATGGTTGTCTAGGTGTTTAGAGTTACATAATTCTGAAGACAAATTATTTTAAACCTTCTACTTGAACTCTTTTCCTCTAACTTTATTCAGATGACACTTTTGATATGTGCTCACCTTTCAAAACACAAATTCTTATACATATATCTGCAGTATTTGTAAAGATGCCTCTGTGTTATCTGTATGTTCTTATCAATTTGTAAGGCTTTTAGCTTTGCTTTCAGACTCTGCAGGTCTTGCCAGACCTTTGTCCGGAAATGAGTACAGCCAAGATACATCTATATTTAGGGTGTAACAAAATATAGTCTGATTTTTTGTCATGCACTTTGTTTTAATCTACTTTTTGCTGTTGACTTACTGGCAATGAGGGTTAATGTTTTTTAAGGCGTTTTTTCGTATGACACCTGTGAAATCTGTGATTTTTTTTTTCCTCTCTAGTACTTCTATTCAGCAATTTGGTTTTAAATCTCAACCCTTCTCTCTGTTATGAGCTCTTACGCATTTTTCTGGATAGTATTTAATCTTCAGAATGTTTGTGGTTCTCTTTTAGCTACTAGGTCTCATTAGTGTTACATTTTTTCCACAGACTGGAGAATTCTCGGCTCGCTTCCTCTTGAAGTTGCCTGTCGATTTCAGCAATATTCCTACATACCTGCTTAAGGTAAAATAACTGTCTAAGTTGACAGTATTTGTGAGAGAGTATGAATTATTGCAATCTCCTTAGAAATTATTTAGACTTTCCTGCCTTCCTGCTCTCCAAGAGTTTGAAAGTTCACCATTTCTAAAATCTAATTGGATCATGTTTTGGGAGGGTGATGTTGGACATGCCGTTGTTTTGTGTGCTACTTTAGTGGCGTCTTCTATATGAGTCTGGAATTTCATGACATGTCTGTGAGTGTTGGAATTTTTAGTGAACAGTCTCAATTGTACCAGTAGTCTTGATAGTAAAAGCAGAAAAGCAAACTAAATATACCATTTCTTAACAGAGAATGAAAGCAAATTCTGGTTACTTGAACTGAAAGCTTCAGTGATTACATTACTTCATTGTTCACAATGCACAGAAATTTAACCAGATACTTTTGAAAGTAGTACTATAGAGTATTTTTGTGAATTGGGATAAAAAAGCATTTATTTCTTTGCTAAGAGGAGAAATAAAAACAGAAAAAGCAATTTGTGACAAACTACCACCATGGAAGAATTTGGAATGAGTGTTTTTACAGTATGGGGACAGTCTCTCTTTGAAGCAGCTACTGTGGAAGGCCGTCATAAGGTCAATGTTACTATATATAGAGAATGCAGTGAGATCTGGTTTTTCTGTCTATCATGACTGTCAGCATGAAGTGTCAGAACTTCCACTGCAGACAAGGTTTGAGCTAGCTGATGTTGCCAACACTCATCTTGCCTTTAAACCATGTGTCTGCCTTCTTTTAAATATTTGGAAAGAGGAACAGCTACTGTCATGGTTTGAGCCTGGCACAGAGCCAGTGCCCCCCATGAAAAT